TCACGATCTGCTACAAACCGGACATTGCCTTCCTTTGTTGGTAAGTGTATGTGCCTTCGACCGGCGGATGAAGTACCGCGCTCTGCCTATTTTCACTTACTTTTTCACCACCACCTCCTTTAATCCCAGTCATCTGGTTTTATACCCGCTTGTAACCCTTCTTTGGATCCTTCCTCGAGTTCGATTTACTGCCACGAGGACAGAACCGACGCCATACTAACCTCCCTCATCTCCAATTCGCAGGTCGGGGAACCAACCAACCGGGAACGAGGGTACTGGAGTACCCGCCACAGTTGAACCAGCAGTTCAATTTTCTCGACGGCTTCCATCCTTCACACCCCACGACGGTCCATGCCATCCGGCCACTAATCCACTCAATCCACTTATTTGCCTCTCCTTCGTCTGGGTCACAGCCACCAAGTGCTCCCGCAAAGTGGTGGTAGGAGTCAGGACGGCCCATTATTCTCCTATCGCCGTCCCTTTGACTCGACCGCTTACTACTACTTACTTCTTGCCTCTCCCACCACCACCATCATCATCGTCATCATCGCCGCCAACTTTACTATCTCCCGACTTCCATAACCAGGTGTGTCGCAAGGAGCAGGCGAACTATCTGGTAACTCAAAGAAAAGGAAAAATATTAAACCCTTCTGCTGGGGGGAGGACCTTCCAGAACACTGCAACCCTGGGAACCTTCCGCCGAGCTGTCACGCGTGGATCCTCGTCATTGTCCACCCACTGAACCACTCCAGCGCACCCATTCTATTCCCATCCACCCATCCATCCATCCATCCTCAGGGGCGGGGGGAATACCAAAGGAAAGCGGGCCGCTTTTTTTCTGTCCCAGTCGTCGCAATCCAGAACTCCCCATACCGGCTCGTCCGTGGTAGTCCTCCTCGTTTGAGGGCGAAAAATAGGCAAAGAAAGGCAAGCAGAAATTAGGAGGCCACTGCACTGTCACACTTGTCTGGGTTACTTGCAGACCAGCGTTTAGGGAGTTACTCTAATTTTTCTTACTATAACAACATATCGCCGCTGACAACCGTCCGCTCTATTTCATCCATTGACACACTCTCTTGTCCCTCTCTCTCTCTCTCTCTATTTCCCCATCAAACCCCAGGCTATTTTGTCTGTTACTATCTTTTTTACTGTATCACTTTAAAACGCTCCTTCATTGTTCAGATTTAAAGTTTTCGTCTTACTATATATTTTTTTTCTTTTCTTTTACTCATCTACCCTGTCTCTTTTGCCTCATTCGTCTCTCTCAGCTGCTACCCGGGATTGCCGCCCATTCTCTTGTTCTTTTGGTTTCTTTGTATTCCAACACATCCCATCGCCGACAAGACCTTCGAGTTTACAGTGATACGCCTGGACCGGGGTGGCTGACAACGGGCATAAAGTGGATGATCAGATCTTGTCTGCTGCAGGCCTCGCTCAAACCACCAAACCCTACTCGTCCCTGTACTTATTACGTCTTGCCTTGCCTCGGCGGCTGATCTGGCGTTCCCGACCACCTGTGGGCACGGCCTGGCTAGGTTGACCTGCCTAGGGAGTATTATTCATTGATTCATTCCGACGTTCATTTATTTAGTTTCGCCCGGAAGGAGAATTTAGCAAACTAAATAATGAAGGTACGTACATCTATCTGTTCCAAGCTGGCAAACCCGCCCTGCAAGCAAACCCCTCGTTTTCCCGCCCCTCGTTTATCTCGATTGTCGCTTGTTCCGAGCGCCCTCCTCCCCGAAAAATTAGCACCTTGATTGATGACTGTGGCCCTTCCCTTTCTTCTTTCTGACTGGGAACGATACATTATTGCCGCGCGCAATCTATCGGCTCTGGACTAATCTCCAACACCGCCAATTAATTAGGCCATTCGACGCTCTCTCAAAGGGGAGAAAGATCCCAAACCCCACCACCACCACCATCTCAGTCACCATAGTCACCACCACCTTTCTATTACTCCAAAGTCCGCCATCGCCATCCTTCCGCCGAAGAAGGTGTGTTACACCCTTTCCTTTCTTTAATTCTACCCTTCACTTTTCACTTTTCTTGTTTCCTTTCCATTTTTATTTTTTTCCCCCCCATCCCTCCCCCAATCTTCAATTCTATTTCCACTCTCTCCATTTCTTTGCCTTTCGGATCCCTGGTTGATCCCACCCTCCCCTCCTTCCCCCCCTGCCTTTACCCCTCCTTTTCTTCTATAGTCGCATCCTTCAAAAATTCCATTTTGGAGTTGTTTGTCGATTGTAATTGATTTTTTCTACGTGTTATTCGCTTTCGTTCGCCGACATTAGTCGCGCAGCCTATCCTTGGCGACCCGTTGTTGACCACATCCCTGTGCTGCGCGTAGGTCATCAAAGCGCTCTACGATTACCAACCGGAACCCGGGAACTCGCAGGAACTCGCCTTCAGCAAGGGAGACTTCTTTCACGTTATCAGCAGGGAGGACGACTTGGACTGGTACGAAGCGTGCAATCCGCTCATCCCTAGTGCGAGGGGGTTGGTTCCCGTGTCCTTCTTTGAAGTGATTGGCAAAAACGAGAGACACAGCGCCGGATCGGTGGACCATCATAAGAAGAAAGAGCCGCACGACTCAGGCTTCTCCGATCGAGCTGCCTTCCCAGGTACAGACTTCATCAGCAATTCCTCCCGCAATAGCTTCCAACCCAGGATGTCGCAGTTGGGGAAGGGCTCGAGTGCCATGGTCTATGGCATCGTTCAGTACGACTTCCAGGCCGAGCGACCGGACGAACTAGACGCCAAAGCTGGCGAGGCCATTATTGTTATCGCCCAGTCGAACCAGGAATGGTTTGTCGCCAAACCTATCGGTCGCCTGGGTGGCCCGGGTCTCATCCCCGTTTCCTTCCTCGAACTTCGCGATATGCAGACAGGTCAAGCGGTCACCGATCCGCTTGAAGCTGTGAGGCGTGCCGGCGTGCCGAAGGTGGAGGAATGGAAGAAGATGACGGCCGAGTACAAGAACAGCAGCATCACGCTGGGCAAGATCGATTCCGCTGGTGGCTCGTCGATGCAGTCTGTCACGTCGAGCATGGACAAGATGTCCATCGGACGTCAGAGTCAAATGAGCCAAAATGGCCAGTCCCAGGTAAGTCACCAATGTTTTCCCATGTTGTCGCATCCATCACTCGTGAGGACTGTCGCCCTAACCTTCCGTGCGATAGGGCTACCACACTCGCAATGCCAGTAAAGGGTCTCTTGTGCAACAAGTTTCGCATCAATCGCAGCAGAGTTATCACCAGTCATTGATGGCGCCCATCGCGGCGTCTATTCCCCGGTACTGCTTTGACAACGACAAATACTGGTACATCATCGAGGCCAAAATGGAGGACGGTCGCTGCTGGGAGTTGGCCCGCTACTACCACGACTTTTACGATTTCCAGATCGCACTGTTGACTCAATTCGAGGAGGAAGCCGGTAACCGTGGCAAGCCGCGCACGCTGCCGTATATGCCCGGACCCGTCACCCATGTCACGGACGCCATCTCCAACGGCCGCCGACAGAATTTGGATGAATATATCAAGAAGCTCTTGGCTATGCCGCCCCATATCTCTCGCTGCCAATTGGTCCGTCAGCTCTTCGCTCCCCGCCCCGGTGACTTTGAAATCGATCCCAACGCATTTGGCGAAGAGACCCGGTTCTCCGGTGGCTCGCATCATTCCTCGGCGAATGAGCCGTCACGGAGCGTGTCGCGCCAGTCGTCGCAGGCACCGATTGCTGTTCACACAGAGCGCAACTCGCACCAGCGCGGTCAACCCTCCCTCTCACTTTCCAATGGCGCACCACCCCCGATGAACCGCCAACCTAGCTCGTTAACGCAGGTGTCGACGTCGAGCGGCGGTGCCATGAAAGTTAAGGTTTTCTTCCAGGACGACCTCATTGCGATCCGGGTCCCGAACGACATCAGCCTTCAGCAGCTCAAGGAGAAGCTCACGGACCGTCTAAAGATTCAGGATGAAATTATGGTCCAGTACAAGGACGAACCGTCCGGGACGTACGTCGACTTGGCCACGGACAGTGACCTGGACACGGCGATCCAGCGGAACTCCAAGCTCACACTATATGTTGGACTTGCATAGAAGCGTTATTTTATCACCCTCCGTCTATATCCCGATAGATCTGTCTGTCATTTTTATCAGTTTTCTTTTGTTGTCCGAATATTGCACCCGTTTGTGGCGGTGTATCGGGTGTCCCGGTGTTATGGTTATTTTTCCTGTTGTCTCTGGTCATCAGCCTCTAAGCGGTTGTTATTGAATCACGAGGTTGATGCTTTGACAAGAATGACATGTCTGAAACGTTTACGCCATCATGTACTCTTTGTTTGTTTTTTTGAAGCTGCACTTTTCTGTTGTGTGGGCCATGGCTGATTGTTTACCCTCCATACCCTGTTACTGTGATGTGCTATTGTCTTTTGTACATAAGTCTTCTCTTGCATATATATTCTAGCCGTAGGCTACGACACCTACTGTTTACCGTCTGCTTTTTGTGCCAAGTAGAACACATGGTAGGGAACCAATTACCGTTCCGGCGTTCACAATAAACGAATGATCCACTCGGCCAAATAAGGCTTTGTCGGCTCTAAATCTGGGGGCCGATCAGTTGCCGCTCTCCGAGTCACATGACAGACCATCGGAATGCCTTTTCTTGTTGCTTCGGTTCCTTTTCGCCGCGGAGTTCTGCTCTTCCGGTCAATATCGGGGCTCTTCAGAGGACTTTCTTTCTCACTTGCATACTTGCATTCGACCCGTTGAGTTGAGTCGACCTGTACATACTTGTCAGCGCGTGCATTCCTGTTGCCCTCTCCAGTGTCCACTTGTCTGTCCCCGCTTCTTCGCCGCGTGGGCGCCGCACTTGACCGTCTCATTCGCCGAGTATTTGCCGACCGAACAACCTCGGGTTTAAGTCTCCACGACTTTGTCGCAACGCACATTTGATCAGACACACACCATTTTCCCATACAGTTTTCGTTATACGCAACGTCCATGAGCGGATCCTCGGCGAAATTGTGCGCGGACTACCTGCCCGGCGCACTGAGGGCTCGGGGCCCTCTTTTGCGTGCCGTTCCTCGGGGCACTCGCCGGCCTGGCGCCAGGGAGTATAGACGGGGTGCTCATGGCGCGAACAACTCTCGCTATCGTCCGTCGGTGACGGCTCACCGGGTACCGGTCCGTGATACTGTCGATGTGAGGTTGTCGCAGGGCCAGTATGCGCGCCGCTTTGCGACAGCCGCCGAGGGGAAGGCTGTGGAGGGTGACGCTGCAGCTGGGATGCAGGGTGGTCCGCTGGTGGAGTATGATGCCCGTGTACAGCAGGGTCGCTTGCGAGATGATCCGTATCAAAGACGTATGTTGGATTCCCATGTAAATTGGTTGTCTCCGGTCGAGCGGAGGTCACTCCCGTAGGGAGGAGGGAGAGTCTGAATTAATATCCTTATCTCGATTACACACGCTAACATGCTTGAATTACAATGAACAGAAATCATTGAGCAACTGCAGGACCTGTACGAACGACTGCGATCCTACAACCCCCCGCCGGTCGTCCAGCCAAGCATCGAATCCCTCGACCCCAAGCCCAAGTCGTTCTTCGGCTCGCTGTTCAATCGCAACGCAAAGCAGGAACTTACAATCCCCGAATCCCTCCCCAAGGGACTGTACATGTACGGCGACGTAGGATGCGGCAAGACCATGCTCATGGACCTGTTCTACGAGACCCTCCCACCCAACATCAAGACCAAGACCCGCATCCACTTCCACAACTTCATGCAGGATGTGCACAAGCGCATGCACGTCGTCAAGATGAAGTACGGCAACGACTTTGATGCGCTGCCTCTCGTGGCGGCTTCCATCGCAGAGGGCTCGAGCGTGCTGTGTTTCGACGAGTTCCAGTGCACAGATGTCGCAGATGCGATGATTCTCCGAAGGTAGTACACCGACCAGCCTCACCCAAACCACAACCATTACTCACGAATAAAACAACAGACTCCTCGAATCCCTCATGTCCCACGGCGTTCTCCTCGTCACCACCTCCAACCGTCACCCCGACGACCTCTACAAGAACGGCATTCAACGCGAATCCTTCATTCCCTGCATCAACCTCCTCAAGACCGCCCTCGACGTTATCAACCTCAACTCTCCCACCGACTACCGCAAGATCCCCCGCCCCCCAGCAGCCGTCTACCACCACCCGCTCGGCCCAGACGCCGACCACCACGCCCAGAAATGGTTCGACTTCCTCGGCGACCCCATCAACGACCCCCCACACCCCGCCACCCAAGAAGTCTGGGGTCGCAAGATCCATGTGCCCTTGGCCAGCGGCAAAGCCGCCAAATTCAGTTTCCAGCAGCTCATCGGCAGCGCTACCGGCGCAGCAGATTACCTAGAACTCGTCCGGAACTACGAAGCCTTCATCATCACCGATGTGCCGGGCATGAACCTTACCCAGAGAGATCTGGCTAGACGGTTCATTACTTTCATCGATGCCGTCTATGAGAGTAGGGTGCGTTTGCCTCCCCAACCAAACCTTTCCCCCCTTAAAACAACCGCCCCATACCAGTAAAACTAACGAAATGAATCAAACAGGCAAAATTAGTCCTCACCACCGAAGTCCCCCTCACCAACCTCTTCCTCTCCGCCGACGACGTCAAATCCACCCTCACGGACGGCAGCAACGACGACGGCGCGGACCTCTCCGACGCGATGCGCATGATGATGGACGATCTAGGCTTGTCGATGCAAGCGCTCAAAACGACCTCGATCTTCAGTGGTGATGAGGAGCGGTTCGCGTTCGCGAGAGCATTGTCCCGTCTGTCTGAAATGGGAAGTAAGATGTGGGTGGAGCGCGGCTTGGGAGTGGGAATGGATGCGGATCATGGGAAGAGTGAACATGATGCGTATTTGAAGGCGAGGAGTCGCTGGTCGGAGGATAATATGTAATCTTCCACCATCATCCTTTTCCTGAGTTTTAGAGAGGGGAGATGTTGTTTCTAGATGGTTGTTGGGTGCTTTATTGCATATATATACTTCTTCTATACATACGTGTATACATTTAAAGATCATAGACTCACTTGGATTTGAAAAGCCGATATGAATACATCTTTGCATTTCTCATCAATAAGTTATGTTGTTAGTGTATACAACAGTTAGTCAACAACTCGACAGACCCCATCCCATGACGTCATCAACCAGGAACGCAACAAACAAGTCAGTCTGTCTATCAGGGACAATCTAAGTTTTCTCCACTCTCAGCTGAAGTGCTCCTGTCACTTTTTTAATGATTCAATTGCCATTGGCCGAAAGCATAGGCGATGGCTCCTCTCACGATGGAGACTGTTAATGTAGGGAGTGGACTCTAGTGGCACATCACTGACATCATGAGTTCCTTCTCTTCACACCAAAACTGTGGACCATTGACAGCGTTGCATCATGGTTCCGGTCCAGACTAAGTCCCTGATCGACTGTAGTATTACAGGTGCTTAGAAATATATTGGTCGTTGATGGGGCGGAAGGGTATTTAGTAGATAGGTGGTACCCCCGGCGAACTACTTCTATTCATCACTGTATCTGTAACCAGTGTGTGAAGAAACTGGAAATACATACATACATACATACATACATCCTTCACCATGGCCAGCGAACGCTTCAACATGACCACCAAACAAGACGATCTCGCCCGGGACACAATCCAACTATCCGGCGTTCAACCCATGACCACCGATTACGGGATCAAGATCTCGGATCCGGATCATTGGCTTCGCGTCGTCGATGCGCAGCATAATGGTCCTTCGTTGCTAGAGGATCCAATTGCGAGGGAGAAGGTATGATCCTTCCCTTTCTTATAACACAGTCAGTCCTCTGCTAGAGTATCGACTGACCCAGTGCAGATCATGCGCTTCGACCACGAACGGATCCCTGAACGAGTCGTGCATGCCCGTGGCGCTGGAGCCTTCGGAACCTTCAAGCTCCATAAAGCCATTCCTGATCTCTCCTCAGCCGGTGTCTTGAATGACACGGAGCGCGAAACGCCCGTTTTTGTGCGGTTTTCTACTGTGCAGGGTAGTCGAGGGAGTGCGGATACTGTTCGGGATGTCCGGGGCTTCGCTGTGAAGATGTATACTGCTGAAGGGAATTGGGATATTGTGGGGAATAATATCCCTGTCTTCTTTATTCAGGATGCTATTAAGTTTCCTGACGTTATTCATTCGGTTAAGCCGGAGCCGCATAATGAGATTCCCCAGGGACAGAGTGCGCATAATAACTTTTGGGACTTTCAGTATATGCATTCGGAAACGACTCATATGCAGCAGTGGGTGGGTTTGTTTGGTTTACTTGCTGAATGAGCAGCTGGCTGATTGGTTTGTTGCTAGGTCATGTCGGATCGTGCTATCCCTCGTTCGTACCGTATGATGCAAGGCTTCGGTGTCAATACCTACTGTCTTGTGAATGACAAGGGGCAGAGGCATTTTGTCAAGTTTCATTTCACACCGGAGCTCGGGGTTCATTCTCTCGTCTGGGACGAAGCGCTGAAGATCGCAGGTCAGGATCCTGACTTCCATCGGAAGGATCTGATGGACGCCATTGAGGCAGGCCACTATCCCAGGTGGAAGTTCGGCATCCAAGTGATTCCAGAGGAGAAGAAGGATGACTTTGAGTTCGATATCCAGGATGCAACCAAGATCTGGCCGGAGGAACTTGTACCAATCCAGTACATTGGACAGCTGGAACTGAATCGCAATGTTGACGAGTACTTTCCCCAAACCGAGCAAGTGGCTTTCTGCACAAGCCATATCGTGCCCGGTATTGATTTCTCGGACGATCCCCTTCTTGTGGGCCGCAACTTCTCCTACTTCGATACGCAGATCTCTCGTCTGGGACCTAACTGGCAAGAATTGCCAATTAATCGTCCCGTATGTCCGTACATGAGTCTGGTCAACCGGGATGGTCAGATGAGACACCGCATCACAAAGGGCAAGGTGAACTATTGGCCTAACAGGTTCGATGCGAATCCCCCATCCTCTCCAGCCCATGGGGGATTTGCGACCTACCCTGAAAAGCAGCGGGGCGTGAAAGCACGTGCACTGTCAGACAAGTTCAGCGAGCATTTCAACCAGGCTCAACTGTTCTACAACTCTCTTAGCCCCATAGAAAAACTCCATGTCTCCAAAGCATTCTCCTTCGAGTTGGACCATTGCGATGAGGAGATTGTGTATAAGCGTCTCTCGGAACGACTGGCCGTCGTTGACCTCCAGCTGGCTAAGACTGTTGCGAAGAATGTCGGAGGCAATACGCCGACCAAGGCACCAAAGGAGAACGATGGAAAAACATCGAAAGGCTTGAGCCAGTTCGACTACCTTTCTGACACCGCGCAGATTACTACTCGTCGAGTTGCCATCCTCGTAGCGGATGGCTTCGACCTCAACTCATACGGGGACATGAAGAGCGCTTTGCAGCAGCAAAATGCATTTGTATTCACCATTGGATCCCAGCGCCAGGGTGTCACCTCTGGATCAGGGGAGAAGGTGATTCCCGATCACCACTTCCCAGGAATGCGTTCCACGCTCTTTGACGCGACTTTTGTACCCGGTGGAAAACACGTTGATGTGCTGGCGAAGAACGGCATCGCTAAGCACTGGATTGCTGAGTCCTTTGCACACTTGAAGCCTATTGCTGGCGTAAACGAAGCAGTGGACTTCATCCGGAAGCAAATCAACCTAGATGCGGTCAAATATGCCTCGGATGGTCAGGTTAAGGTGAGCTATGGAGTGGTGACTGCCCATGGCGCACCTGCGCAGCTATTGCAAGTATCGTCCAATATTGGTAGCGAGAGCAAGGGATTTATCGACCAGTTTATCTGGCAAATCTCAAGGCACAGGAACTGGCAGAGAGAGTTAGATGGCTTGGTGGATGAGATCGCTGCATAGTAGAATGTCGGTCAACAAGTATTTATGAGATAATGAATAGCGGTCCCTGATGTTTGTCACAACATGGTTTGTAGTAGACTCCCAGTAAGTGAGAAGCTGAGAGAATCAACTCTAGCAGCAGTTACAATTGGAATAAAATGCCGAGATTGCTACGTCAGCTGCATATGATGTGTGACATGGGTAATGGTGTGAGCATGTCGGAGCTGGATGGCACAACAGTCTAGACCTTCACCCTCAGCATAGAGACTTGAGAGTAACATGTTTGCCTAGGTATAGACACCCTAGAAAGGGCCCCTCACAACATGTTCGACCAGCCTGGTTGGTAAAGTTCATCGCATTCCAGGCCGGCCCGATTCTAATGTAAGGGGTAATAAGCCGGTAGCCTCACACCTGGCCGTGAGTACTTCTACAGCAAAAGGTCGTCTGGGCTTTGTCTCATTCTCATCTGAGGGAGTTCGGTATCATGGTGCTCAAAATATCACGCGCCACGCGATTGACGGTGGTAGTTGTCATCTCCTCGGCATTCTTTGTGGCTGAGATCTCAGGTTGGCTCCCCTCTATCCCTCTGCAGATTGCTTCATTGCAAGCCTGGCTGACGCGACCGTACGGTAGTTGGTTTTTACACACATTCCCTTGCTTTGGTGGCCGATGCTTTTCATTATGTATGTGTGGCCCATTGTTGCAAAGCGGTCACTTATGAATTTAGTTGAACGACCTGGTCGGGTTTGTTGTCGCGCTCGTTGCTCTCAAGGTAGTCCACAGCACGGTCAAGAAAGGTGCAGCAGGTACTGAGTTCACTCCAGGTATCAGAAGCAGACGAATCGCCGAAAGCCCTATCTTTTGGCTGGCAACGAGCCCAGTTGCTGGGCGCCTTCTTCAATGGCGTCCTACTCTTCGCGCTTGGGATTAGCATCTTCCTACAGTCCATTGAGCGATTCATCACACTCCAGCGTTGGTGCTCCGTCCTCCTGTCAAACTCATCCGGTTAATGTGCAACAGGTGTTGAGAATCCTAAGCTCATGTTCATCATGGGAGCCATCGGACTGACCCTGAACCTTATCAGCGCCACGTTTCTCCATGGTAATTCCGGCTTCAACAGCTAATGAGGCGGCCTCGGTAACTGTTTTACAGAGCATCATCATCATGATCACGGACATGAACCTAGTTCTGTGGCTCTGGAAGAGCTTCCGGTGTCGACGACGGATGACATCACAGTACCGGAACGACCAGGAAGCCCGAACGTTAGTACTTGAGCAGAACACAGAGCTTTCAGCTGGCTGACTCTACTCTGTAGCACGATAACCATAAACACCTTTCGCATGGGGCTCGGACAACCTCTCACGGACATGACCTAGGAATGCTAGGGGTCTTGACCCATGTTATAGGCGATGCGGCCAATAACCTTGGGGTGATGGCAGCGGCCTTGGTCATATGGTTCACTCACTATGGAGGGCGATTCTATGCGGATCCAGGCACAAGCATGGGAATAGCCATCATGATAATGTTGTCTTCAATTCCACTAGGTATGTCCTTCGACGTTGTTTAATCCATAGACACTGAATCCAATGATAGTACGGCGATGCGGTCTCATCTTGCTAGAAAGCGCGCCTAATGGAGTCGACGTCGAGGATGTGAAGCATGATCTAGAGAAGGTAGGCCACACAGAGACTATACTCATCGAGTAACTTCTCACCATTTCGCACTTGGCAGATCCCCGGTGTCCTATCAGTCCACGAGCTACATATCTGGCGCTTAAACCAGCACAAGGCGCTCGCATCGGTTCATGTTATGGTATCCGATTGCTCAGTGCCGAGCTTCCTGAAATTGAGTAAGACCATCAACGAATGTTTCCACGCATACGGGATCCATTCCACCACGATTCAGCCGGAGATGGCCCATCCGGAGACGATCGCAGTCGGACAGCCGGCAGTGGAAACAGAACGGGCTTCACAGATTGAAATGTCTGAGAAGTGTCAGGTGATATGTGGAACATTATGTGAAGAATTGACGTGTTGTGGATAGAGGAGATACAGTATTTGGATATAGGGATGATTGAGAAAGTATGGAGTACAAATGAAAAGAGGAGAAGAGGGAGATGAAAATAAAGATGAAGATGGCAAATGTCACGGGGAGGCCGGGTCATCTGACTTGGCTGTTACTAGTTAGTTGGCTAATATCCCATCACTGAATGCTTCTCCTCCTTCCTCCGCTTCATCCATACTTATTTACTCGCATGACTGTCGCTTTTTTTTGTTGTTGGTCCGAGTACCACTCCACTGATGTGATGTGAACTCCATCTCTCGCCCCCAACTAATTAGTATGCGGAACATATTCCGCCTGGGTCGTTTAAACCTTCGGCTGTGCTTGTGTGCCCACCTGTGATTCCTAGCAGATCTCCCCCGGTACTGACTACCAATGATTAATAGTGTAATAACTCCAGATAGGCAAGGTCGGCACAAGAGCTCCATTCAGCGTTCATTTGCTAATTGCCGATAGACGCCATGGCCCTTGATAGGCAAGTGCTCGCGACCAGATAGATAAGAGGATCTCCACCCGAGGCGTATCTCCTCCCTGGAGCTAGGAGCTGCAGCGCAGCTGGATGCATACGGGCTATTGATCGTGATTGGACTGCATTCCGATTCCGAGATGTAGACTCGTCCCCAACTCCTCATTTGCCTTGTCATGGAAACCATTAGTGCTTTTGTCTGCCGGTTTTAAACTGTGCACACTCCCCACCTTTCCCATGCCGGTCACATCTCCTCTATCACCCAATTCTGAACCTAGTGCCCGCAAACATCTTACACTATGTCACTCTCGTGGGAGCTCCAGGCACAAAAGGCCAAGGACATTCTCCAACAGTCAATCCCCAAACAATGGCTCCTCCCCGCACATAAGCTACCCTCGGCCGACCTGAAAAATGTGGAGGACTTTCCCCGCAAAAGCGGCCTTCTCTCGGCGAGAGAGCTCAGTATAACCGACATGTCTGCCGCTACCCTAGTGCAGAACATGGGGGCTGGGAAGCTCACGGCAGAGGAGGTGGTCGTGGCTTTCCTCAAGCGAGCCGTATTGGGCCATCAACTGGTAATGCTTAACTATATCTTGTTCAGGTTTCTGTGCAACTAATACTTGTTGTCAGCTTAACTTCGCTACAGAGTTCCTAACCGACCGAGCAATCGGTCGAGCCAAGGAACTAGATGAGTATTACAGGCGAACCGGAAGGCTAGTTGGGCCTTTGGTGGGACATCCTTATCAGCGGTACCGTACAATCCATAAACTAATAACTCGCAGCACGGTGTCCCGATAAGCGTGAAGGAGCATGTTGGAGTCAAGGGCCATACATGTAATGCCGGCTATGTAGCCTGGTATGGCTCCGTTATTCTTCAGATTCAGTATCAAATCCAGAAACTGACAGCACCAGGGTGGACGACATTGCAACAGAAGACTCCCTCATACTACAATGCCTCGAAAAGGCAGGTGCCGTCTTCCACGTACGGACCAACCAGCCACAATCTCTCATGGTACAGCTACATTCCTACCTTGCCAAAAAAGAACATTGCATAGCTAATCAACACATAAAGCACCTCTGTTGCAGCAACAACCTCACCGGAACGACGCTAAACCCTTACAACCGCACGCTCAGTGCCGGTGGTTCCTCAGGTGGTGAAGGCGCTTCGACCGGCTTCAAATGCGCTCCCCTAGGTATCGGCACAGACATTGGAGGCTCAATCCGATGCCCCGCTGCATTCTGTGGCTCCTATGGCTTCCGCCCAACAGCCCTTCGCAACCCATTATCAGGTGCAAAAGCACCCAAGGAAGGCCACGAATCCATCCGCGGCGTAATCGGACCTCTCGCCAGCCAGAGCGTGGAAGACATGGACATCTTCCAGCAAGCCATCATCGACCAAGAGCCATGGGATGTCGAGACGTCTCTAGTTCCAGTCCCATGGAAAAGAGCCAAACCCACCAAAAACATGACCGTAGCCATCATGTGGGATGATGGGTAAGCCAGCCAGCAGCCACACCAACGCATACAAGTACCCTAACAAACACCAGCGTCGTCCGCCCTCACCCCCCGATAACCCGGGCCCTCAACCACGCCAAATCCAAGCTCCTAGCCGCCGGCATCAAAGTCATCGATTGGGAACCATATAAGCACAAGCACGGCTGGGACATCATCGTACGTCACACCCCAACCCCCATCCAACATACCAAAACTAACCACAACCCCCACCCCCAGTCGGCAATGTACTTCCCCGACGGAGCCCTCAGCCAGCGCAAACTCATCGCCCAAACAGGCGAACCAATCCTCCCCTTAACAGCCTGGGCCTTCGACTACAGCAGTCCCACACCCCTAACTATGGCCGAATCCTGGACCCTCAATGTCCAGCGCGACGTATACAGAGACGAATACCACGCGTTGATGAAATCCAGAGGCGTGGACTTCATCCTCTGTCCCGTATACGCGGGCGTCGCCTCCGTTCTCGGTGAATCCCACTACTGGAACTACACCGCGGTGTGGAACATTCTCGACCAGCCGGCCGTGGTATTCCCATCCGGCCTGAGCGTGGATGCACAGCTGGATCAATTGACCAGCGAGCATAAGACGTATAAGCCTCGAGACGAAGTTGATCAGCGCGAATGGAGTAAGTATACCGGTCCGGAACGGTACGAAGGTGCGCCTATTGCGTTGCAGTTGGTGGGAAAGCATTTCAAGGATGAAGAGACTCTGGCTGCTGGTGCTTTGGTTGATGGGATCTTGAAGGGAGGAGCAGAGCGGAGCACTACTACTAGATCTAGGCTCTGAGCTAAGCTACGCTGAGTGAGAGAGACACACATAAATTGAAATGAAATCCGATATCATTCATAAATTTGATCGATCATTTACAATCCATTATATCCATCAATCATAACGAAACATAAATACATACATGAAAATCCCAATCATCCATCATCAATAAGGTCGTAAGGAAATGAGAAAAAGAAAACCAAACAAATCTATCTCATCACCAGCAAGGAAGCCAGATCTGGAATCGATGAGATAGAATATAGAGGGGTATACCGAGAGATAAAAAAAGATCATCACTTCCTCCAAAACATAGCCTTACCCGCCACTCTCTTCGCAGACCATTTTGCCTCAGCAAATTTGTCCTTGAAACTGACTCCGCCACCATACTTAAGCGCAGTACTACTCCTTCCACCGCTCGAGCCAGAAACATGGCTCATATTGGCCAAATTGCCTGCATCGAATTTGGTCTTGCCCTCGACGATCTTCTGTACGACAAGCAAGATCGCATACGTAGTGGATCCAATAACACGGATAAGGGCCAACACTACCACGGACCACAGGATGATGGCGAGGTAGACGTTCGTACCGCCGGCGTCGGGACCGTAGACTTCGGAGATGGCCATGGCCAGAACGACGTTGGCTACCATCCAGATAGAAACCATGTATGTGCGGACGGCGCGGTAGTAGTCTTCTTGCATTTGGCTCTCGGTGATGGGGGTTTCGGGGACTTCGACGCGGTCGCGGAGGTTGCGGAGCGCGGCGTCGTAGCCGCTGTCGATGTCAAGTTGTTCGGAAGGCATTTCGATTTGGACTGTGGTGCCGTTGATAACGCGCGCCGCTCCCAGATCCATGTTCAGGACGTTGTCACCTTTTGTTCCCCAGGAGACATCGTGCGTGTTGCAGAAGGCGTAAACTTGAAGGGTGCAAATATAGCTGGGTAACATGATGAAGTAGGCTGCTGAGGAGGTGAACATGTGCCAGGGGTCGAGGTAGAGGAAGGAGGCATAGAAGTATAAGCCCACTGTTGACAAGAGGGACATGACGATATTGACGAAGAGGCCGTCGCTCACTTCGAGATCAGTATCAACGCCCACTCGCGCTAGAATTTCGATCACCACTAGGTACATGGTGCAGAAGATCGTGTAGAACATGATGATTGAGTAAACGATGATGCCGGACAAGTATAGCTTTTTGGCACTGCAAGGGTTGAGGTTAGCTAGCTATCCATGAACTGTCCTGGTATGGATTACTCACCCTTGCGGTCTATTACCCATTGAAATGATGAACTGCAGACACATGACCAGAATACAGGCGTATCTCAAAATCACGAAAATGTATTTGCCGATATGGTGACCAAATGGATCGATTTTGTCGTCGGTAAGCGAGCCAGCGATGAAGTAGAATACCAGGTAGAAGTTTGCCTAAAGGTGAGTTGAAGGTCAGCGAGGTTTTCTCGGACAGCCGGGTATTATAAGACATACCAAGCCAAAGTACGTGAAGATCAACTGCATGAATTGATAGGCACCCTCGATCTGGAGGAGAATCTTCCGGGGTAGCGAGTGGTCCGTTTTCCAAAGTTGCTTGGCATTGACGATAGAGTACACGGCCGCGAAGAAGGCACCGTTCAACCAACGTCTTCTCTGTGAGATGAACTCCGGAATGGAATCTAGCAAAATTGTTAGCGGCTTTACATCAATCGCTCGTCTTCATGGCTTACCTGGCACGTCGGTTTCACCAACAGCACTCTTCACGAACTTCAAAACCCAGCGCTCTTCCCTCTTGGCAACCAACTCCCAGCAGAGAATACGATCTTCTGCCAGGTACATGTTGGCAGTGAACACATCTGCATCTTGTCCATGTAGTGTTTCTCCCTTAAAGTACTGATTCAGAGGGCCATTACCCTCCGCGTCGTTCTGCAATGCGAAGAACCGATATGCACTGAGAGCTCCGGGAAGCACAGTAATATATCCGAAGACAGATTCCAGCGGCTTGTCCAAAATGTTGGACATCTTGTACTCGAAGTTTTGACTGGCAACCAGAGGGTTCAAAAGACCGAGCATACCCTTGCCTTTACCGGCCTTAATTTCACCAGCCGCTCCAGCGACGTTCGAATTCTGGTCGAACGCTTTCCAGAGGTGGTAGAGTGCGGTAGGCGCAGGCTTGGTACCCACATCGAGCAGGATGCAAATGTTCGGCTGTAGTGCTCGGCCAAAAGCGTTGAAGAACCAGCGGTGCGAGTTCAATTTCTTTTTGTTGTGTTCTTTCAAACAGAAGAGCACCTGGCACGGCATGATGCCCTTCTCAGCACCCTTGAACTTTAGGTCGGGATCGAGCGACACTTGCGTCGTGTATTCGTAGACGTGTGCGTTGACCTGCTTCTGGTTGACGACGTTCTTGGCGATACCTTCCTGGTACACACCCAAAGCCGCCAAAGCATTGAGGGTCCGCGGATGCACCTTCTTACGACCGTCGGCAATGATGCAGACCACAATCTTCTTCCAACCATCCTTACCCCAAGTACGGGACTTGGATCGCGAGCAGAGATGGGTAATATTCTGCATCACGCCATGCATAGTCCGAGTGAAGCCAATCTCATCCTCGTTGTACATCGTGATACAAATCAACAGCTCGGTCTCACGCATAGTGGTGCCAATCTGTTGGCGCAGCTTGTAGCCTCGCTGCGTGAAGTCGTCGGGGTCACAGGTCACTGCAGTGTACCGCATATGGGTGAATTCTCGGTCATCACGACGAGGCAAAAAAGAGTGCAAAATAGTTGGGATCTTGCACTCCAAGATCAGTTCACCGTTGATCAGCTGGACTTCCTTGGTGGACATCTGAGCCTCGCGAACACCTCGACGGCTCTGCTTCTCTGGGGCTGGACCATAATGTATGTTCGGGTCAACCATCTCATCTGTTTCTTCCATTTCATCGTCCAAGTCAACTTTCGACATGGCATCCTTCTCATCTGTAATAATCGTAGACTCGCTCATAAAAGACTGCATGCTGGCTCGATTGTCGGCTCTAGGGTCGATTGTTCGCCCACCTCCACCGAAGACATCATCGTCGCCCGCGTCATTAATCGGGATGTTTGCATCGTGTCCACCAGGGGCGGAGAAAAGTGGTGCTGGGGGCAACGGACGGCGAGGGCTTCCCCCATATCTTGAACTGGGAGTGCCTGGTCGTGGACTACCATTCAGATCTGCACGTTCATATTGCGAGCTTGCGACCGAAGGGGGAGCTGGAGGTCTAGCCCAGTTCCCGACACGGTTAGGCGACCAAGGCCGTGTGGGAGAGCCCGGACGAGAGGTATAGTGTGGGACATCTACCGTTGATGCTGCCGGCGGGGGAATGGTTGGTACGTTTCCCAGACTCGATACAGGCCGGGAAGGAGACTCGGTTGGCTCATAGGGATAGTATCGCTGGCGTTCACTTCTGCGGTTGTTTTGAGCACGCGAGTTAGCAGCCCGCTTCATAACCATCATTTCGTATATCATATTGGAAGTAGTTGTGCCGGATGTCCATAGACATCCCAGATATACGCAAAAAAGCGGAGACAGTGTTGGCCAGGAAAATCACGGCATGCAAACTGATTGAGTATTTCTCAGTCACCAGACTTGAGCTTTCCCCAGACAGCGGTTTTAACAGCATTGACCATGTCAACAACGGGAGAGATGGTATGGAGCTCCACGCCGGAGGGCAGATACCAAACAAGGTCATCGGAATGCCAGAAGCCATAGCTTAGTGTGATTTAGGGGAACGGAAAAAAGAAAGGCTACTACTTACTCTCCGTCATCGACAAAAGGATCCCCATAGTGGTACTCTGAGCTAACTCCCGTGTCGGCACTCAAATCACTTTCTACAATTGTGCTGGTGGGCAGCAATCGCATAGTAGCTCCATGCGCACGGGATGCTGCCGGAGGAGAATCATGTTCGGTGTAGTATGGGTCTCCGTACGTATCATATGCCGGCGGCTCCTCTTCCTGGTTATGCGCCGGCACATACATCCGCGACGAGTTGTTCATGTTTATCTGCTCGTAACTCAATCGCGCATAGTATCCGATGATCAAACGTAGTGGTGGAACAAAACGATTTCTCAGGTATCTGTGTGGTTACGGCCCTAGCGGTTACGATGACCTCAAATCCAGGGACGTAGATAGTAGTGGCCTATGGATTCCTAAAGGTACTGGGTTCCACGGTTAGCACATTTGCATCGTCCAGACAATTCAGGATCCGGGGTGATGGGGAATGCCACTTACTATCCACAGGGGGGGCAGTTGGTTGTCTGGTAGTACCAGTAAACAAACCAAAGTATGTCAGAGATCAGGAGGAATGTATCGGGGCAACCAAGCGATTGGATAACGGTTTGAAGAAGTCGAGTAGAACCTCGGATGCGAAAGTCGAGCTTCCTTATAAACAAAGGTTGTGATCCACACCACAAACGCACACACAGAGCGTTCAAATAGTGAATGATGGCAGGTTGATAAAGTCAAACAGATCCGATCAGTTCCGCCCCAGGCACTTCTTAAGAAAATCACCTTGGATACGGGCGCCTAAACTGCCGTCGTAATCAGACTGCGCTGACGAACAGCAGCGCCTGGAGAGCGTGGATATCACCAGGGCAACGGAAGCTTTGGAGGAGCGAGCGGGGCGACCATCCTTGCAGCTGAGAGACATCGCATGGATCGAGTGATCGTGCTAGGAGAGATGAGGACTCCCAGTTTGAATGGTCATTGGCTCTGGTTGTCATTTGTGGGTGTCTGGTTCCTGGCGATGTTCCGGATATTCAGTTCTGGTCCTTACTTCCACTTTCTGGCCATTTCCTCGTGTGGTTTCCACGGCTGAGATCCCGCCCGCTTCCTCAGGCACCACCACCACTCATCACCCCCTCGCCAACTGCATTACCCTACTAGTAAGTACCGAACCGTGGAGCTTGGCTTTATTTGCGGTCCGTGCGGGTTCAAGGAGCGCTGCACGGTCTTGGGACACAATATAATCCTTTGATCACAGTCCATGTTTAGTGCAGATTTACAATTAGCAGCGATATATAACCCCATCTGCTGTGGAGAACTCGATCGTAAACAACAGTCCAGCCCATACCACCTTTCGCGTACCCCGATACGATGTATTTATTGACTGTGGCTCACTTGTACTAGTAGTTTGATCATGATACCAAATATATCATGCTGATGATCAGAGTAAACAATCAATTTCCCAACGACAACAACAATGTCTTCATCGAATTCACAATCCATCGTCGCCATATGACACTAACAATGTTATAATCCATCCGTCGACTTTCCGTAATTAAATAAAACAAAATAACTCCTCCAGTCTTACAGCAGTAAATTAGTTGCAGTACTATCAGAGCACAAAATAAATTTTGGATGGACAAACCCCCCACTAAGACCCGAAAAGAGACCTTGAAATCAGATCCACTGACTCACTATTCAGTGGCATCCTGTGTTCTCAAAGTCACCCTACTTTCTGACAAGCGCGTAAGATGGCGTTTGGTCACTTCACACTTAGGCAGTTTGGGCTGGCTGGGTCGAATCGTTGAGCAACGGCTCCCTCTCGCGATCGGTCACCGGCGCCGGCTGTCCAGCCCTACGGAAGAAGATGTTGCGCCCAGAGTACTTCGTCAAGGAGATATAGAGAGACTCGGCGAAGAAGACGGCAAAGATAACAATGGCAAAGATCCACTGCAGGGAGATGATCTTGACGCCGAACTGCTTGACGGCCAATGCTGCAGAGTTGTGTTAGCGCTGCGACGGCACTTCTCTCAGAAAACCTTGTGCTGATACATACCCAGCGTCAAGAGACTCAGGCTGTAACCCAGAATGTCATCCTGGGTAGACAGGATGTGTGTGGAACCCAATGCGAATAGCACCCAGATGAACACATTAGCAACGATCCTCGCTGGCAGGCTGTTGCTGTTCACGGCAACGGCTCCGTTCCAGAAGAGCGTGATCAGAGTCCAGGCATAAGGCGCTGCGACGGCGGCAAAATGCGCCAGAGGTGGCAGTGTACGATGCCGCCAGTAGGTCGTCTTTTGGTTCAGGAAGTGCGCGATCAGGATAATCTCTGATCCCCAGAAATAATTGCGAGTCCATAGAAGAATCCAGGCAAAGATGAACAGGTTGTTCAGGATGAAGTGTGACCCTACATTGGCGGCGGCGGTGGCCGTCACCGCGTCGTTGGAGAAAAGATGGTAGACAAAGCCGATTTGAGAAAGGAGTGTTATGATCCTAAATAGCAGGTCGTAAGAATAGGGTGGCAGTCATAGGCAGAGTAGGTAGCTCGATTATTAAAACAGCCATATGAAGAAAGCCAGGAATAGTTACCAGTAGACACCAGAAATAACCGTGCTCAAGCTAAACGGAGTAATGTGCTTGTTGGCTTGCTTCCAGATAGTATGGCCGTGCTTGACATCGGGGGCATGAGAGGAGTAGTAGATGCCGACGACCACGACGAGTAGCCACGACAAGGGAACGAGGACGCGATAGGTTCCAAGTGAGAACCGGTCGTGCGACTCTCGCCTAGCGAATGGATTATCTAGAACATTTCCCAGTCAGTGACTGATGAAAAACGGTGTGTCGCAGGTGAGAGTGTCTTGGGAATCAAGGGGGAGGAACTCACAGGTCGACATAGCGACTGCTATGGATTAAGAGGTAGGGATGGTTAGGGTAATGGGCGAAGGAGACCTAGAATCAAGAAGAGCGAACTCTGATCCCGACCGGGGGGGAGGGGATGGACATCCGGTTATATTGCGTAGCGCAGCAGAGGTGAAGGACTTGCAGCGACGAAGCAAGAAGCAGAAGAAGTACTTTAGTTGAAGGAGACTGGAGGATGTCATTGGAAGGAAGACGGCAGCTCCCCCGCATTGCCTGATCTCCTGACAGCCTTTCGCGTCTCTCACTGGCCAGTCTCCCAGCCATCACGGGACTGCCGTGCTTCCGGATGTCGTGTTGGGTAGTATTACTCGTCTCTCAGATGTTCTTCTTTGCTTAGCTCATTGCTTGAAGCTGGTCTAACTACGGTATGTGGGGGCCTCTTCCCTGGTTCAGCACAATGAGGTGACGACTAGTATCTATGACATCATCCTAGAAGGTATCGCTCTCTATCCAACATCCAAAGACGTGATAAAACGCTAACAGTGGTACACATGCAAACAAAACGCATTATAGAGGCACTGCATGCTCCTGTCCTCCTTCCGTCATCGCCATCTCGTCATTAAATAGTCCTCTCATGCCATTGATCGCCGTCCCCACGTTGTCGATCAGTGCACGGTCCTGTTGGCGCATGCAGCCGAGGGTCTCTTCCGCCAGTGATCAGACAAAGTGCAGCAAGAGTACCCTTTTCAAATGCATCTCCGCGCAAATACGGCTGGGTGTGTAGTTTGTCTTGTGGCAGCATATGAAGTAATCCTGGCCCTCATGCACGAACCGTCCTGTCAATCCACTTGGGAGCTGCAGAGCGAGGGCTTACTAGTCCGTAGCCTTTCTCTTTCATCAAACACTAGGTGGTGCAATAAAACTAGTGGCTCCGAATAAAAAGCAAAAACCGTAAGCGGGGACTGTTGAGACAGCTCATCCGCCAACCCAGACCCCGGATTAACCGTTTGTCTTACATGATTTGTTTCACTGCCTCCACGAGCCGGCTGTGGATGGACGAAGGTGCAACGATCATCCCGTAGCAACCAGACAGGGTTCTGCCCAAGCTGCAGTCGACTGGATTACCCGCCAGATCGCTAACTGTACAGCCAAGTTCTTCGGCAATCAACATGCCGCCTGAATGATCCCAAATTTTCGACCGATAAGAAGGGTTACGCGGAATCTTTATCATGACATTACAGCCCCCAACTGCGATGGCGATGTATCGCAGCTGCGCGGCCCAGAGATCTGTTGAGGCCGGCCAAGGTGCACCTAAATGCGATGCAAGGCGGGCATGCATGTTCCTGTCGGATGATGTTGCTGACACGCAATCCACAAAATCGATATCTTTAGGATCCGTAATCTGCGCCTTTGGCTCGATCTTGCGCGAGGGGAGGAGAGCTCCCGTTCCCATTTGCCGAATAAATGCGCCTTGTCCGGCAACAGCGAATACCTGATGGCCATAGCCATCTCGGTCAACGATGTTTTCATGTAGGCGACCCGTCTCCAGGTTCATATTCGGACAGCCCAAAACGCCAACCTTCTGGTAGCCGTTTTCCACCAGTGACAGACAAACAGCGTACTGCTGACCCTGAATGAAGGTTGCTGTGCCGTCAACGGGGTCCAAAACCCAGGCACGGCTCTGCTTGCTACAGTTGCCTTGAGCACCGAGGTCAATCAAATCAAGCATTTCCTCCTTGCTGCTCGGGGCGTAGAGTAGCGCATCGCTTTCCTCGTCTAACAGGCGCGTAGAGGAGACCAGCTCCCAAGTCCTGTCAAGGAGAGCAGGATCGGATCGAAGAGCATCTGAGCTCTCTTCGCCGACAAACTCATCATCGGGGAATGCACGGTGAATGGCAGCGATGATCAATGCCTGTGCAGCAAAATCAGCAATTGTCACTGGGGTGGCGTCATTCTTGTCGAAAGACCCCTTGTCCACAGCTTCCAATAGCTTTTTCGTCAGGAGCGTGGCTCTCTGGACTGTGAGACAGGCGATCTGGAGTTCCTTTGCGTAGGGGTTGGTGGATCCCATGGTAGCCGTATGTACCGTACCACTCGATAAGAATTTGAGTTTTCAAATGGTTATTTAGCCAGGATCCTTTACGCTGAGATCTCTGGGATGCAGTTCGCCTCAATTAAGCGTTCTTTTCAGTCGTCTCAAAATCAACGATACTCGGAGGCTCAGAGAAGATGTTGCAACGTCTTCCGAGATCACACACCGACTATTATCGGATCCAAGGTCTGATGGTGGGGTCTTCCTTGGAGGGGCACCGCTGGTGACGTAGGCGATAGATAGGAGCGACAGGCGAAGTTTTGCCAATTCAGTCAAAGCAAAGATATGTGAAAATTAGATGGTCTAAAGAGCGAAATTCCTGGTGTCAGGATCTGTTCTGAAGGGGCAAAAGTAGTGGTAACAAGGAGGAAACAAAAGCAGGAATGACTCGAACATGAAGCCAGTGGAAGTGATCGCCCCGGCGGAGTGACCGTCTTTCTGTTTCAGGCTAGTGTGACTTAATCGAGTATGGTCGGATCTCCTTCGTTTATCTTATCGGGCCATTCTGCAGACTATCATCACGCCACCCATAAGAGTCACCGCGTATTTCGTTTGTTCGGAGTGAATGTATGAGCCTATTGCTGGTACAAAGTAGGATGTTAATAATAGAAAGCCCAGTCGCAGGCTTATTCTCGGATCAACAAAACCAATCCAATTAATCTGTAATATATAGGTAGGGTCCCTTGCAGACACTTGACTTCAGACATCTATTCCATTACAGAATGGTGAATTGGTTTGCTCTGTAACCTCATTCAATGCCACAATTAAATCCGACATCAGGAACCTGAACATATGAGCCTCACTACTTAGCCATACTCATCTGCTCGGTCCCGTAATAACGTAAAATCATGAAGGACATTAGAATGGAGCAAAAGCCAGCTCGTAAGCGAAGCCAAGGGTCAACCTCGCATGCTCCAGCATATGATCGAAGCTTAGATACCGGATGCTGTCATCAGTCGTGTGGATCCTCTTGTTGCTATTCTCCATTTCGGACTCCGTCGCCATAGCTGCGGGATAGCCATATTTGCTTGCGGATGTGTGGTCCGAGCAGGCGTAGCCACATCTGGTTTCGATGTAGCCGATACCACAATACTTTAACAGGAATCGTTAGTCATATGTTTTCAACAGAAGAGAAGCGGGACAGAATTTACCTCAGTGGTGACATCTTTGAGGAATTGTGTCAGTCCCTCATCAACGTAGTCGACCATAATCCCGATGGCTTCTTGACGACCGGCGTCCAGAGCTCCCTGAGTATAGCCGGTCATATCCTGTTGAAGCATCGCCTTGATATCTCGCTTATCCCTCTTGTATTGAGAGAAAATGGCCTGCGAACCAAGCATGCCACCTTCCTCTGCCGAGTACCAGTGGAATTCGATAGTGTTGGAAGCGTTGCCCTGAACAATGGCGTCTGACTGCAGCAGACCACGCAAAGCTTCGAGGATAGTCACAGTTCCACTTCCGTCATCATCGGCACCAGGTGCAGCTAGGATAGAGGGGAGAAACAAGTTGATGCTGTCCTGATGGGCACCCAGGACGACAGTTTTGTTGGTCTGGCCTGGGATGCGAGCAATGATACTGAATTGGCCCCATGAGTGAGCAAACTGCTCCACAGTCGCGCCGTACTTCGCTGCACCCGACTGCTCAATGACATCGGAAACTCTACTATATAGCCACTTTGCAGACTCAATACCAGTGGACGACCTATAGTAGCGAGTATGAAAGGATGTGAACTTGTTGAGATTTTGCTCCATGTTATCCTTGGAGAGACCCCGCAGAAGGGGGACCACCTTCTCTGCATGCTTCATCGTGGACGGATAGTGAACATAGCTACCGGCGTGCAATGTCGGGTAGAACCCTGTGTTTCGCTCTTCAGTAATATCGATGAAGTTCACGCCATCCTAAGGAGCATCCAACGAGATATTAGTAAGATGTGCTACCGTGACAATAACGAAACGGGGCATGTTGCTATACCAGCTTCAGGTCCCACTTCTCTTCCTCAGTAACCCATCTTGTCTGATAGGGAGCCAGCTCGATCAAGAACTTCTCCTGATGGTGATGAGTGGGGGGATCTTGAGGGGTTATCAGCGGTTCTTGCTGCGGTACCACGGCTGCCAACACCCCCGTCGAAGCCGTTGCACCGAGTGCGAGAGCTATTGAGAGCTTCATGTTGTCTACGATAAGCTACCAGCTCAATAGATTGATGGAGAGAGAAAATAAGGATATAAGATGATGATCAATAATGATGATAGGAAATCAAATAGTACAGTTGCTGCTGATGAACCTCTGCACTTTCAATGAGCTGTCCAAGGCTGACCCGCCCGAATACCTGTCGGCAATTGATAAGGCTCCAAGGGTCACAGAAGGCCGAGGACTGAGCTGGTAGCAGAAGAAGGAGAACTGCTTTGCAATATTAACTTGACCGGAGGACTGCTCCGACAAAAGATTCGGGATGATGCTAGACAGACACGGGGAGGTCGAATTGGATGCAGCCGAACATGCAACCTAAGAGCTGAGAACCCCCCTTTGAGACCGTTGCGTCAGAGGTGCGCGCGCGGCTTAAATAAGGAACACGCGCTGGTCGCACAACTCATCACTCCTCGGCCGCCAAGGATGCCTGTGAGACCCCGATCCGACTCTCTGCTATCCCGCACTATTGATAGCTGGTCTGACTTGACTTTTAGCCGTTGACTCTTATTGGAAATGGTTCCTGGACCGAAATCAAGGCAGACTAGCCGCCCCTGGCAGCGGGTCCGTTTACCATCCAGCCTGGAGCACTTGCACTATACTCCGTTGCAACTACCTATCCTCTCCAGGGAGAAAAGGGTCCTTAGCATGCGCTCTGAGACAATATCATGGCAGACACTGCTCTGGTCACATAAGCCGACTCTTGTAGCCTGCCATGCTAATGTAGGTCCCGTTGTGCGACCTCACGAGTCTGTGTGCCTGAGCCCGGATCATTGCTGGCTGCCGCGAATCGTGGGGTAGGTACGGAGCCTGAGGCACCAAGCCCCTTCTGATGGGTTGCTCTCTATCTTACAAGCATTGATAAACCACAAGGAATATACAACGACGTTGAATAGGTTCCCAGTTATCTGGGGCTACTCATTCCTGCTCAATATTCGATCTGATCAAACAAAAAAGGTTGCCAAACGAACCCACATATTGTTCGCCGATAAAGCCATGAGTCTAATGAGGGGGGCGCGTGTCCGAAAGCCATTATACGGGTGCATTGTTAGGGTCTTTCGCACGTTGCTGCTGTAGAGAGCGATTTACTGAGGCGCTCCACATCGCCTTGTCATAAAGTGTATACACAAACCTGGGTGAGGGATATCTGAATGATAAGATGACAATCCGAGGGTCCCATTTCCAAGGTTCAAGGGTTGTTACATCACCGCCGCGGGTGATGCGGATAGACGCCTGTCGCGTGAAGCACACGGCTCGCGAATCAGGGCGCCACTAGCAGTCACGATGACTCACAGAAGGTTCCTGTCTCAGATCCCATTCAGGCAGGTAGGGCTAGGGTAAGCGTCAAGGGCATCCAATGACCAGCCATTGAAGATTCTCGTGCCCCAGTAGGAGTCAACTGGTGGATCCGAGGCCGGAATTCTCAGCGCTTACCGTATTGTACCGACTGGGCTCGACCGCCGAACGCGACCGGACTGGAGGCGGCGGTTATCTCCTCTTATCTGAGAGCAGGGCTTCCCTTCGTCCTCCCCCCCCCGCCTCCCCCGATTCTTGTCGGTCTTCTCCAGAAGTCACTGCCTTAGTGGTCTCTTCCTGGAGTACTACTTGATACCCTCGCCTCAGGCTGCGACACGTTTTCTGTGCTTAACCACCCCCGTCCATCCATCCCGCTTCTCCTGTCCCATAGGCCTATCCGTTATCGACAACCGTCCGAACCGCGCTGCGCTCTCACCATGGCCATTCATCCGAATTTCCCATCTGAAACGAATCCGAGAGGATCTCTCTCGCCACAGCAGGCTCGCGCCATCTCCGCTTGGACTGAACAGGCAGCTGCATCCTTGGAGAGTCTGACTCTCTCGGAGTCAGTACCGATCACCGATTCGAATGTGGTCTTTTCCCAGTCCACTCCTACGCGCGCAAGCGTGCGCGGCACCACAGTCTCGCTATCAATTCCCCTAGATGACCCAGTACCGACAGTGGGAAGCCCTTCCGCGCCTAAGGTCAAGGTCCTAGCCCAGCCAACCAAGGAGACCCAGGTGGCGTCGGTGAGCTTCCGGCGCCGCGAGCCGCTTCGCCGTGATAGCCTCAAGAGGCGCGAAGCCTTGTTGAAGGGAAAGGATGGTAGTCGTCGCAGACAGCGTTGGGAGAATGGTATGTCTTGACATATCGGAATCACGCCACTGGCTGGGCTTCCGCGCTTCTCCTAGGCCGGGCATGCCTTCGTCTTTGCCCTCGATAGATGCTGACAGGATATGCTTCTTGCAAAGATCGTCTTCTGAATAATCCGTGGGCTGAGCCACCTTCCTCCAAGGATTGGGATATCCAGGCCACCCACACTCGTCACGACCCTATGCCTTACTACCTTGCGCCTCTCTGGGACAACCACTATGCGCATCTGGACCATAGGTCATCCCAGCAGATGGAGACCCGGACTGAGAAGCATCGTGTTCCTAAGGAGCTGCGACAGCGACTAAAGCATGCACGTGCCGCACGTGGTATACTTCAGGATATTGAAGAAGACATCAGACAATTCATCCAGCGATGGAACGAGAAGCAAGGTTTGCTGAAGCAGGAGGGTCTGGCAGATGCCCCACAGTCATCCGACAGTGAATCCGAAGACGAGATCGTGTTTGTGGGTCGAAACGGCCTGATGCATGACTCGTCCCAGAGAAGAGCAAGACTGCAAAAGATGCGTGAGGCAATGAGTGCTCATCATGAGCATGATGGGCAGAAGATGGTGTTTGAGAGTCTGGTCGACGACCGGGCAGCTGGATTCGGGTAAGTGTAGAATTTCTTATCCAGAGCGTCGATCCATGCTTACCGTATGTTCTCACCTTCAGTCGCTGGCTCGTCCATTCCATCGCGTCGTATTACGGCTTGCACACTTGGTCTGTCACCGTCGGGGAACCTGCCCGCCGCGAGGCTTACGTTGGCTTCTATCCGCCAGCCCCAGGCAGTCGAGCAGGACCCGTATCCCCACCGGCCGGGTCGAAGGCATGCCGTCAGGAAGCGATGATTCAGCTCGGCGACGAACTGCCTCAACCGCTCTGGACGCAGGTGTGAGCCGTTGCTCAGAATGTCCATGGACTTCTGACCAATTCAAATCAACTTTCACAACTTTGCATTTTATCCAGAGCTTCGATGCGTTTTGATTCAAGGGTATGTTTCGGGACTGATTCTAAATAGTTATCTCTTGTAATATTGGCGTCGGTGGGATGTCTACATACTGCCTGCGGGGATATAGATCCTGTATATAAGGTAGGATAGACCAAGACCTACAATTGATTTGGGCACATAGGGAAGGTGGCGACCCGCATGGGATTTGTAGAGTAAGTATCTTCATGACGCGATCATCTTCAACACATTATTCTATCCACTGTAAGACAAAAGAAGATCTCTTATCTATGATCAATCTCTCCTATGCCATTACCTACCTACAGAATCGTAGCCCCCCCCCCCCCCCCCTCCCGATTCTCCAATTCTGTCTCGGAAGACCGTCCAAGGAGAACTTAATATGGGCACATATCTCGGAAGTTTGCAGTAAATTTGCAAGATATATGGGTGGGATCCCCACCTACCATATGGATCGGGATCTAGTCTTGGATGAACCCTTAGTGGACCTGAGAGGGATAGCGAGGTACGAAATACTCAATATTGTGAAGGTGAAGTTTCCCTTCAATGGCATTGAATGTGGTGAAGTAAAGATAATTATCCTTTCGTTTTCAACTCACTGGCCTTATTGTACTATATTAATATCAGTGTATAAGAAGGCAATTAGGTATGCTCTAGTACTACTTATGGGGGCTCCGGTGAGCAATTGATATACTTACTATTGTACTAACTACTAGTCTCTAGCTGCTACTATGGAGAATACAAGCGTAGTCAATTAGCGGGACGTATCTATCATAACGATTAGGTTGGGTTGTGGTGGTAGTATATTTAGTTGTATATAAATATGTAGACTCAATTTAATTACAATTTCAATTGGACTGATGATGACACCAGTTAAGTTAGCCTTGGACATTGATGGAGACTCGCGTCCCTTTTCCAAGTTCCTATTACTACTTATGTGGTATGCATGGTGCTAAATGGTGCCTGAAGCCTGATAGTATACGTGTTTACATATCTTATCTGTTTCATGATGTAGGTTGGATTCATTTAAGAAAGGGCATGGAAGATTATGGAATAGTAGACAATGGCACGTATGCTATTAAACATGATGTCAATCGTTAGTGCAACTACTGAAGTAGAAAGCACCCAGTATATTCATTCTCATCAGGCAGGCATGTTATGTTGATGATGATGATGTCTCCAGGTGTGACTGTGACGTATTGGTATGTACCAGCCAAGTCAATAGTAGTAAGATAGCCCCCTCCTTCTTCTCCATCTTTTCCTGCCTTTGACATACCTGTGCTGATTCATGGATTGATGAGATCGACCAAGGCAGAAAGCCAATTGCACAAGTCAGTGTCGGTGCCAGTGGCATTGTTGGAATCCTGTACCACCGTCAGCCGTCAGCTTACATGTTGATCTACGATACCGGTTTTAGGTCGGTCCGGTGGTTCCGGGTCTAGATGGTCTAAATGATGCTGCTATGCAGCAGGCTGTCATTGAGAAAAGGAGAGTAGGGTACGGTTGCTGTTGACAGCGTGGATATTGCGTAGGGAAAGGATACGGGAGTGATTGAACACAACAATGGGGGGTGACGTATTATGCAAAGACAGTAGTACTTCTTTTGTTGGTTCTGCAACAGCAGATCACTTCAGACCTCGGGTGCATGTATGGTGCAAGGGACTGGGTATCATCTATCTGCTACTGGGGAGTAGTAGTAATGTGAAATGCTGTTCACTTACCTGATTAGGAAGTATCCGATGGATGCTTAATTTAGTAGTAGACTGACTGACTGACTGACTGCACTGATGCCTTGGTGTCGATATCTCCCGTGCGCACAATGAATTGATTGGCGAGAAAAGGGAGAAAGATGATCACAATCTCAGGTGTCCATTTAAGCGACTGTGGAATGTCAAACCATCTCCGATTTTGCGATGGAGAAAGGAGAGCGAGAAGAGAGGAAATAGAGGCATCCATAGACAAGCGAGGCAAGGGCACTGACCGCGCCCCACTTGGGAAGCCCCATCGTTGTGGGGGTCGTCAAGGAGAGAAACCGGAATAGGGTTCGTGTTTGAGTTTTTGGGTGGGAAAAA